ACATGAACTCAGCTATCATCATCATCATCCATTTCTTGGTTCTCTGTTTCTGGTAATTATACCTGCTTTAGTTCCATGATATTCATTTTAGATGAGCTATAACATTACAATAACAGTTGGTTGCTATATCATTATATTTATATACTTTATAACACACTGATAAGAAAGAGTGGGGGAACTATCACTCAGCCAAATATCATTTGAGTTTTGAGCACTGATAGACAGTGTAATGAATATAAGCGGTTTATTCCATTTAAGGGTGCACAGAAAACCTACACTGCTGCAGGAAGAACCTGCAAACACCCCCAGCTGACCAGGAGAGTCAAGCCAGAAACCTTCTTGCTTCAATACTGGCACATTCTGTTGCTTACCTTCTTGGTATCATAATTTTTCTCTCCTCCCCTTTAAGTAACCCGCAGCAAGTGTTCAGCCTCTCACTCAGTGCAGATACAAAGAGGAACATAAAGACATTATGATGAGAATCATCACCAGGATCATTCTTCTGCTTCTCTGCTTCTGTAGGTTTGAAACTGAACTTATTGCTCACAACTGGCATTTTTCCTTTGGTTCACTTTATATTGTTTTTCACTTTCACCACAGGTCCTTCATTGTGCACAAGAGTTCAGCAGGTTCCATCATCAATATTAGGAAGTATTCATGGTGAAACAAGAATCAGCTGCAACCATTCAGAGAGCACATACAACGTAATATTGTGGTACCAGAAGCCAAGGGGTGACTCTGCTCTTAAACTGATTGGATATATTTTATATGGAAACCCAACCATTGAGGATGGATTCCAAGAATCTTTCAAAATTAGTGGAGATGGGTCAGTAAAATCACAGCTTGAAGTGGAGAAACTCAAAGCTGAAGACAGCGGTAGTTATTACTGTGCAGCTAGTACACACAGTGAGCTAGTTAACGTCTTGCTTTTACAAAAACCCTACATGATATCACGCCACATAAATAAGCAGCAAAGAAGTGCGCACCTGCATCTAGCTGCTGTTTATGGCAGGAAATCACCAGTGATATCAGCCATAAAACCATCTCTTCCTGTGTTAGCCCACACCGTACCACACAGAAGAATGCATTGATGATGAAGTGACACACATAATATAGATCCCTCCTCCTCCTTTACATTCAGGCAGCTCTGTTCATATTCGTCACACCTTTGTTTTCATCAATGTAGGGATCATGATCAGACTCATCATCCATTTTGGAACGCTGTCGTTCTGTTTAACAGGTAATGTTCAATTCAAACTTACAAAATCTTCTTAAAATATTTAAAGTTTTTTGTTACCTCTAAAGCTTTTATTTTAAAAACTTTTATTCTGCAGAAGTCCCAAAATCTGGCATTCATCAGACTCCAGCTGCCCTCATTAAGGCCCCAGGAGAGGAAATCCAAATACACTGCAACCATTCAAACAATAAACTTGATATGATACAGTGGTACAAGCAGTCTCCGGGGGAAAATGAAATGATTCTACTCGGTTATGTACGATTTACCTTTACAGCTGTTGAAGATGCATTTGAAAACATTTATAAAGTGACAGGTGAAGGAAGTAAGCTGTCAACTTTTCACATTCCAAAGCTGAGAGAGTCTGTGGACAGCGCCATGTATTTCTGTGCTGCCAGCGCTGCACAGTGTTGCGTCTACTATCCTTCTTCAACAAAAACCTCCTCTAATGCAGACAGCAGCAGTTATTCTGGAGAGCACCAAATAAACCACATATCAGTGACTGCTCACACAGCTGTCATGCCATGAAACAGCTATAATTATTTCATCCTTTAGGGAGCGCTGTTGCTCTCCACATTGTTTGAATTATGATCATTCCTCATTATGAGGAAACAATACAAAACACTTAAACACAGCAGGAGTTCTCTACAAAGAAAAAGACGAGTCTGGGTTATTAGGAGAAGTGTGAGGGCTGGAAACAAGAGATAATAGTCAAAGGAATAGAGGAGGAGGGAATAGAAATGGGTAGAGAAGAAGAAAAAGCAATAGTGACAGGAGCATTGAGGAGACTGCTTCCCTGTTAGCTCCTTCCTTTCTCTGTATTTACATCCTGCCCCACCATGCAACAATCATCTGTTTCATTCACCCACAACCTCAGCTTTTCTTTCCCTTTCCTCTATATATAACTTCAGCCAGTTCCCTTCCCTTTCTAGCCTTAGCCCAGGACTGTGCTGTGATCCAGAAATAGCTGTGCATATGTTGTACCAGAATTTTCTATTGAGGATTTACTAACAGACAAGAACTAATACAATAACAATGTTTTGACTTTACTTAAACTCGGCCTGTGTATTTGCATTGCACTGTACTTGTGTATTGCTGGATCCCACAGTACTAGTGTTACTAATAGAAGCATTAATAAAACTCTTTAATTTAACCATTTTGCCTCCCTGTCTCCTTTTTTTCCCACCCAGACACTTTTCGTTACTTTCCCTCATCCCCTGGACCTTTTTAGGGGAACATAACAGTGTGTGTGCCAATGTGTGCCAGTGTGTGTGCCAATGTGTGCCTGTGTGTGTGTGTGTGTGTGTGTGTGTGTATCTG